TCCATGGCTGGATGGGGCCATGGATTTCACGCAGCTGATGGAGCAGTACGACCGCTACCTCGAGCTAGACCCCATCGACCAACTGCGCCGGGCCAGCCGACTGCGGCTCACCGGGGGCGGCGGCAAGGCCGGCAAGCAAGCCGCACCCGATGCCAAGTGAGCCACATTGGGGCGAGCGTGAGGGAGGGAGGGAGGGAGGCAGGACCTCAAGTTGTACCACCTATCGTGTCTCTCTCTGTTTGTGCTGTTTGGTGTGTCAGGGAGCCCGCCCTGATGCAGCAGCTGCGCAGCGGGGCCGGTCAAGACAAGGACGTCTCCAATACTTTCGCCGAGGTACGCCACGCCCACTCCCCAGCCACATGGCATGGACGTCTGCCATCTTGTGTGTTGTGTTTGTGTGTTGGTGTGTGTCAGCAGCAGCCCAGGGCCGCCCCCCGTGGCGAGACCGTGGCCCGTCTTCAGCGAATATACGAGCAGCGCGAGAAGCAGAAGCGCCAGGTCGGACCAGAGAAGGACAAGCCGAAGTCGCCCCAGGAGGTCGCCAAGGAGTTGGAGGACCGCAAGCGGGAGGAAGCCGAGGCCAAGCGCAACGAAGACGAGCTCCTCGCTCAAAAGAGGGCTGCTGCTGCAGCAGCTGCTGCGGGCGAGAAGAAGCGGAAAGGCAGAAGAAGCCCGGCAAGCGGGGCAAGGCCAAGAACAAGGGGCTCAAGCGGCCAAACGCAGCCAACATTCCCGACGCCGACCACCAAGACCAAGACCACGAGCAGGACGGGCCCCCCCGGCCCTCCACCAGCAGCAACCTCGACGACACCGAGGAGGTCCAGCAGGGCGACACCGTGCGAGAGGAGCAGCAGCAGCAGCAGCAAGGTGTGGGCGAGGGCGTCGCGGTGGATGAGGGTGAAGATCTGATGCACGGCCCCTTGCGGGGGAACTTTGGTGACGACAACAACGGCGAAGAGAACGCCCACCCATCCCTCGCACCCACACCCCCACCCGCTGCTGCGGCCGCGGCTGCGGTGCCTGAGATGGCCCATCCTGGGTGGCAACACATCGATGGCGAGCAGCCTCAGGGGGGTTGTGGCGGACATGGCGAGGGCGTCGGTGGTGATGATGGAGAAGGTGAGGCTGGTGAGGGTGGGGAGGGTGGAGAGGGTGAGGGAGAGCCTGAGTGTCCGGAGCCCCCTGACTTTGAGGGCCTCATGTTCGACGTGGGACAGGGAGAGGCTCAGGAACAGATACAGCAGGAGGAAATGTAAGCCATGCACCTGACTCAAAAGGAAGGAGAGACACACCAGACCCACACACACATGGGAGTTCCTCTCTATGTGTCTGTCTGTCGTGCAGAGGTAGCAATTCGTCTTCTAGTGACCAGCCGTCGGCCTCTTCCGTGATGGACATGGGTATTGGGCGTGCAGCTGAGCTCCACGGGCAGCTGGATGGCCAGCGGTATGATGGAGACGGACACAAAATGCGAGCAAGAAAATGAATCAGTGTCTTTTTGTCTGGTGTCTCCTGTAATGTCCTCGCAGTTCTGTCGGGCACACGAACCCCTCCGCCCAGCAGCCTGGTGAGGGTGCATCCAGCAACGCCGCCGCCCACGAAGTCCACGAGAACCTCCAGAGCCGCCACCAGCAAGAGGCATCGTCTTCTGCTAGAGGTGCACTGGCAGCAGCGGCAGCCGAGGTGACCCCCTCAGCCGTCCAGCCTGCCGAGAAGCGTTCCCGCGCCCCGTCGCCCGACGAGAACTCGCCCGACGAC